ACTTCAGATGATCTCTCACAATCAGCAGAAAAGCATGCTTCAAAGCTTACCTCCACAGGCTAAGCTATCAATTAGCCTGGACTGCTGGACATCCCCATTTTGTCAGGCATTTATGGCAATTACAGGCTATTTTATTGATTCAAACTGGGAATATCGGGAGGTATTACTTGGTTTTGAACCACTGTCTGGCCAACATACTGGTCTCAACTTAGGTGGTGTCCTTTGGGATATACTCCAAAAGTATGATATTGAAGACCGCATTCTTGCTATTACAACAGACAATGCATCTAATAACAGCACATTGGTTGAGAGCCTATATGATATACATGGCTCATTCATCATTCGAACTCCCTGCCTTGCACATGTGATGCAGCTCGCCCTAAAGCAGCTACTTGGTCAGATGAAGGCAGATCCAAAGAATGAGGCTATTGAGATAGTTTGGTCTGATGATCTTGATAAATTTGCTCAAAAGACTGCTAAAAAGAGTGGTGATATTGCAACTACCTTGCAAAAGGTAGGTTTTCTGTAGCCTTTCACTAATATATGCTAACCTGATCACTCTTTAATAGGTCCGAAATCTTGCTGTTTTTATTAATGCAAGCCCACAGCGCCGAGAGATATTTAAAGATCTCCAACCTGACCAGCCTGCTCAACCCAATCAGCCCCGGCCCCCTCATTTAGTCCCAATCCAAGATGTTCGAACACGTTGGAATTCAACATATCTTATGCTGCGCCGTGCTAAACAACTACAAATATATTTTGATCGCTTCTGCACACAGAATTCCTACAATCATCTGAAGTTATCTTCAGATGAATGGCGACAGGTGGATTACTTGATTACAATTCTCCAACCATTCTTCCAATTTACTGAGGCCATCTCAGTGTCCAAGGATGTGACTATTTATATAGTCTTTAGTGTTTACAACAAGCTTTTTGGCCATATTGAATCTTCAATCCGAAAGTTACAGCAAAAGAAAATTGGATGGAAGCAAAAGATGCTTGCAGCACTGAATTCATCTATGGATAAACTGCGTGAATACTACACCCTAACATGCAACAAGGAGCTTGGTGAGCTTTATGCAATTGGAACTATTCTTTCACCTCAGAATAAGCTCCAATATTTCCAAACAAAGGACTGGAAGGATCAGAAAATCGACTATGCAGCCCTCTATCGTGAGAGTCTTAATGATTGGATCAAACCCTACTGGCTCTCTGAGACTCAACAACCTCCATTGCAAATTCAGAAATCAACCCATTCCAATATGCTTTCCTTACTACTTTCTGAAAACCAAACAGAGATGCCAGCACCTACTGTCCAAGGCGAAGTTGATCGGTACTGTGATAGTGGTAGGTCTTGAATTGAATCCTATTTATCTGATCTTGATCTAATTTTCTTTAGCAACACTACCTAATGGAACCTGCCCTCGGCAGTTCTGGAAGCATCATGAGGCTGAGTACCCAACTCTAGCAGCTCTTGCCCAGGATATCTTTTCAGTCCCAGCAAGTGGTGCAGGTGTTGAATGATTATTCAATTCTACTCGTGATATTTGCCACTACCGGCAAGGATCTTTAAAAGCAACAACAATCAAAGATCTGATATTATTCATGTGTGCTACAAAGTTCAATATTGAAGAGAAGGAGCTGGCATTTATACAAGATTATGCAAAAACAGATAGGATTGCTGCACTACAGGAGGAAGCTAAAGTCCAACAGTCTAGTATTGATTCTGCTGATCTTATTAGTGATGATGAGGAAGATTCTTCCTCATCTAGAGTGTCACGGACGGCCCCGTGACCCCGCCCCGAACCCGCCCCAAAGCCCGCTGGGCCGGGGTTTGGGGCAGAGGTGCTCGCCCCGCCCTGGGTTTGGGGCAGAGATGCCCGCCCCGCTGATTTTTGGGGCGCCCCGTTGGGGCGGGCTGAGTTGGGGCAGCGGGGTTTGGGGGTGGCCCAGGGCCCGGTTAAGCCCCATTACAGAGCCAAACATATAGTATTGTATGGTATCTATACTGTGTAATGATTACATGCTTACTCTGTACGCTGTGCTCCTATGGTTGCGAGTTACCCTATTATTTTATGAAGAATCATGTTATGCTCCGATGAATTTTGGCCT